TGAGCTCACACTGCAGCTCAGGGTAAGCTTCTGAGGGGAAAGCTTAATCTGCTACACTCCTTTCTCCCTCCTAACACCCAAAAGTTTGCACTCTGAACAGGTATTATTTATGTATGTTCAGTCTTACCCAGTAAATTAACATTGTGAACTCTTTCTGGCTGTAGTTCCTTATCCATCTTGTGAGTCCAAAATATTTACACATTTCTGACACTGGAGTTATTTGCACATAAATCCCTTAGGCAGCAGGACCCTTAATGAATCTGACACCTCTTCCTCTACCTGGCTGATGTGCAGTTCCTGAACAATCTCTGGCTTTCTCCTGACAGCACAGCTAGAATTCTTAGCTTGTTCTGTTTTTAGTGGAAAGCAGCAGGTACAAGCCTAGACACTGACAACTGAATATTCATTGCAATCTGGAGCCACAGAAGCATCAAGGCTCCATCTCAGCCTCACAACTGTGTACACCAAGTCATAACTCAGTCACACACTGATCCTGTCATCCATTTCAGGCAGAAAAAAGCACATTTCAAATGGTTTCTCCTAGCTACAGCACCTTAACTTCCACAGCTCTCCTCTGCTTTTGGGAACTAGCACACATGGCTGTGATATTTTATTATTGGTTTTTTCCAGAATAGTGTAAATACACATAAAATCCCTGGGATTCTAGTTCCTGTGCACCATCAAACTGCTTCACTCCTTGTTTGTAAATCACAGGTTATGAGGATGAGGTCTTGCCAGCTTTGGGAACAGAGCACTGCACTCCCTCCCTCTCCCTCATCTGCCTCAGCAGGTATCAATACAGTGTTGCTTTATGATATTGCCAGGAAATTTAAATTAAGTAGGAGCTTTCTTAGTTCCAAAAAAGACATTCAAGTCATCAGCAAGAAGCAAATTCAACAACTGTCCAATGCTATACATCAGCTAACAGAGCAAGGTGCTTCCCATTCCCAGCCTGTATCCCAACCAGTGGGTTGGCTTTACTGGTGTAGAGCTTAAGGGAAGCACACAGTGCTGAGTGTGATTTGTGGGCATGTTCCCATGCAGCTCCTACCTTGCTGGGAAACTGCTGTATGATCTGTGGTGTGTAGGTCACCTCAGAGGCCTTCTTGTGCAGAGACACCACCACGAACAGCTCGAACAGCCTCTGCTCCTGGAGCTCTATCAGGTCCCTCTCCAGAGTCTGGTAGTGTGGGTTCCTCTTGGATGCTGCCTGCACCTGCCGTGGGCACCTCTGGCGACCTGAGCAAGGAACAAACCCCAAACCAGCCTGTCATGGAAGAGATCTCATCACCAACTTCAGAGGGGGAAAAAGAGATGTGTGTGTTTGCCTGACATCCCTGCTGCTCTCCATGGGATGTGGGACTCCTGCATCAGCTCCTTAAGCACAGAGCTGCTCCTCTCGCAGGTAACAAGTGACAGGAGGAGAGGGAATGACCTCAGGTTCCACCAGGGGAGGTTTAGATTGCATATAAGGAAGAAAATCTTTGCAGAAAGGGTTGTAAAGCACTGAGCAGTTGCCCAGGGCAGTATGGAGTCACCATTCCTGAGAGTGTTCAGAAAAACATAAAGATGTGACACTTGGGGACATGGTTAGTGGTGAACATGGTGGTGGTGTTGGGTTGATGGTTTGACTTGATGATCTTGAAGGTCTTTTCCAACCTCAACAAGTCCATGATTCTGTGACTCAGACAGGGAGTTTTAGCCTTGCAGCAGCTCTGCAAATCCCTCCTGACTGATACCTGCATTCTCCTGCTGCTCTGATGTTCTGTCACACATCTCAGAGTGACACACGAGTCACCATTCCTGAGAGTGTTCAGAAAAACATAAAGATGTGACACTTGGGGACATGGTTAGTGGTGAACATGGTGGTGGTGTTGGGTTGATGGTTGGACTTGATGATCTTAAAGGTCTTTTCCAACCTTAACAAGTCCATGATTCTATGACTCAGACAGGGAGTTTTGGCCTTGCAGCAGCTCTGCAAATCCCTCCTGACTGATACCTGCATTCTCCTGCTGCTCTGATGTCCTGTCACACATCTCAGAGCAACACAGCATGGTACTGTGAGGGAAGCCCAGCTGGGAGGAGAAGCCCAGCTCCACCAGTTCAGTACCTGCCAGGCCTTGGGCAGCCACTCTAAAGCAGCACAGGCATTCAGGAGAGGCAGAGCCTGTTTCCTGGCCAAGAAACCTCCAGGCTGGGACGTCCTGACAGGCAGTACAGACTCACAAGCACAGGCACAGCACTCTTGACGTCAGGAATTCCTGTGGCCCAGGCACCGTGACACATTCTAGACAATTTCAAACAGCTCTTACACCAGGCAGTGACTCAACCACTTTATTTCTGCAGAGACTCTCCATTACTCTCCTTAACACAAAAATGTGGAAGTTCACTATTCATTCCAAGCTAAGGCCTTTGGTATGTTTTCCACCAATTAAATGAATCACCTAAAACAAGTGATAGAATCCTGGAATGGTTTGGGTTGGAAAAACCTTAAATAACATCTCATCCCACACTCTGCCACAGGCAGGGACAACTTCCACCAGCCCAGGCTGCTCTAAGCCCCATCCAACCTGGCCTGGAACACTCCCAGGGATGGAGCAGCCACAGCTGCTCTAGGCAACCTGTGCCAGGATCTTCTCACACCAGCTGAAACCAAGTAGGTGTTTCAAAGTCTGTAGTTTGGGTCTATAATGTTTTCCACCAATTAAATGAATCACCAGCTGAAACCAAGTAGATGTTTCAAAGTCTGTAGTTCTATGATCAAACTCAGGACATCAGAACCAGAAAAATACCTGAGTGATTTCTCCCCAGAGGAAAGGGCATTTCACAGCATTATACAAATAAAACAGAACCAATGGAAGGAACTAGGGGGGAAAACATCAAGTATTAGTACCAAAGGTAATCAGGAACAATCTCCCAATGGAAGGAACTAGGGGGGAAAACATCTAGTACCAAAGGTGATCAGGAACAATCTCCTACTGTGACTCTACCAACCCAAACATGAATCTGCTCCTGGGGACTGATGGATTCATGGCATTAAACCTCAAGGGCTCAGGAGAAGTGGCAGAAACAGAGATTGGTTTGTCACAGCAACCTCTCAGCCTTGGCCATGCTGCCTCTTGGAGCTTCCCTTTCTCTGCCTCAGCAGAAGCCACAACTAGTCAGTGTGCTCATCCCATCAGAGCCTTAGCCAAGTGTGCAGTGCTGTGGGGACAGGACCAGCCCCTGTGATTCACTCACTTTTTGGCTGATTTTCCGTATCGCTCTCATTCCCACTGGTTTCACCTGAAACACACATAGTTTTCACTTATTAGCCATGCAGAAGGAAGATGGGCAACACCCAAAGTTGGGAAAGAGACAGAACCTATCCTGCTCAAAGCATCAGCAAAGGGCAGCTGGTGCTGGCAGATGTGTTACAACAGGAAAGTCAAAAAGCAGAGTTGATAGCAAGTCACTCTTGCCAGTAAACAACCTGTAGATGAGCTGAACACAGGCAAAGAACAGAAACCAGGTGGTATTTGATGCTGCTATAGAACTTTGCAGAGTTGCTGAATGGAATACACTACAAATAAAGACCATACTATGGCTGCAAAATCAGAACAAGACAACAGTATCACTTTAGAGGCACAAAAACAATGAGTGGAGTAGTCAGAGGTAGTTCTCGTGCCAAGTGGTTTTCTGAGGAATTTTTGGCATTACTCTGCATTTTTGACAAAGCATTTTTAACCAGCAGCACAACTCCTCAGGCTCATATCAGGGCAGAATTTCCACTTGTGACAGCATTAAACTTGGGTTAGCCAAGTGTTCCCAATCCCAATGGTGCTGAAAGCTCAATTCCAGCTGCAGGATATGACTTTTGAGTCAGCTCAGCATGAGCTACATGAGGTGGTGGTGCCAGGCCAGTGTCACTCAAGAGGTTTTTAGCACAGATAATGGTGCTGGAGACCCCAATACCTTTCACTGGAGTCACTTCTTTCCCAGCAGGACTGAGCAGCTTCACCTTCTTCTTCCCACGCTTGGAATCAAAGATCTCCTGTATTTTCAGTACCAGCTGAAATCCAAAGCAGAAGCAGAGGTTAATGTGGGGGTCCAGAAGAGGGTCCAGGTGACAAGGGGACAACAGCCTAAGAGCCATCATCCAGGACCACAGCATTTGGGACCCTGGCTCAGTACTGATGCCAGATCCAGTGAGCTGGGCCAGAAGGTCTCCATTTCCTATTAGAAGCCAACTCAAAGGCACTTGCAAGAACATCTGGCAAACCCTCCATCACAAAGGACTCAGAATTCTGCATGCTCTGCAGTATTCCACCACTTTCCAAGCCCAGAAAGAGCAGAGCTCTCTCAGTGTAGCTTGGGGTTGGGTTTTGGGTTGTTTTTTAAGTTTGCTGCTGTAGCTGGATCTCAGACAGCTCAAGTTTCCCAAAGCACAAGTCAGACACAGCATGAGGCTGCTCCAAGCACAGTCCTTGTTCCAAGGTTGGCTTGCTGAAATGAAAGGATTATGTACTTGAAGCATCCTGGGCTAGTGGAAGGTGTCCCTGCCCATGGCAGGAGGTGGAACAAGATGAGCTTTAAGGTCTCTCCCAACCCAAACCATTCCAGGATTCCCTAATTTTACATAGGTGAGGAAAGGGTGGCACAGAACAATGGGTCTGTGCTGCAGGAACTCCACAGACCTGATCCACAGGAAGAAAAAAGCTGGAAAAATGCACAGCCCAATGCAGACTAAGCTAGAGACATGAAAGAAGGGGCAGCAGTCGATGCTGTTAACTTCCCTTCCCTGGTCACAACAGCCTTGAAAGCAAAGCCCTGATGCTTTTTGTCACCCTGTCACAGGCTGCTCTGGACCTCCCCTCTCCTGCAGGTATGCAGTGTGTCCAGGGCTCCCTGGCTCCTCACATCAAAGGTGCCTGTCACTCCTGTGAGGAAGGATTGATGCCAAACACAGGGAGCAGGTCAAGTTCATTCTTGTCTCAAGTTCAGAATGCATTACAGTGAAGGCAGCAGGGTGGGGCCTAGCTGTTTGTCATCACAAATACTGCATAAAAAGAAATATATTCACCAGAACCTGTTTGTCAGCTCAAGCCTTTATCCCCAACGCAGCAAACCAAGCTTAGGCTCTTCTTTTCCAATAGATTTCTCCTCATTTTCTCCCTTACCCAATCCTCCTAGCACGAGGAGGCTGCAAGGAACAAACAGCTCACAGCAGAAAGCAGTGCTCCTCCAAAATCTGCCTTCTTTCCCCTTTCATCCAGCCTTACCTGGAGGATTTCCATCTCTGTCCTGATTTTTGTGCAGCTGAGTCACCAGTGCAAGGCCTTGGGTGTGTTTAAGGCAACTATGTGTTTATTAAGCTAAAAGTAAGTCTTTTCTTTTTAGACTCCAGTCCTTTTCTCAGTCTCTCGAGCAATCTTGGCTCAATTCCTCGTGAGCAAAGAGAGTAAAGTGCTCTCCCTGCATGTAAATTGTTACCAGATTTTTGGAATAGGTTTGCTTTAGGAGAATGTTTTATTTTCCCCTCTCCAAATAAAAGATACTTCTCCATCACAGCATTTTTATAATCTTGCCACCCCCTTCCTGACCTTCCAGACGTACAGTTTGTTTGAAAACACAGACAGAAGAGTTATTTGATACTTTAAAGTACTTTAAAGGTTTGAAAAGTCCAACTCTACCTCAGTCTTGTGTAATCTGAGCAAACACACAATTTTCACAAGAAATAAAGACCTGCAGAAGTTAAATGATTTTACCATGGCAAAAGTCACTGCCACTACCACGACTGGAACTCGAGTCCCATGCACAAAGTGTCACCCCAGTGCAGCTGCAGCTCCTCCTCCAGAGCACAGGCTGCTTTGGATCACTGAGGGACGTGAGCTGGTAAGCAACAGTAGGATCTACAAAGATTCCCAAGGCATCAGATGAGAATGACAGAGTCCCCTAAGAGAAGGTGGATTAAAAGCCTTTCTCACTCCTCTGGCCTCAAGCAGCATATCTGTCCTTGCAGCCAGGCAGGAGGGAAAGGTCAGAGGGGACAACTGTATGAAGGCTTTGTGAAATGCACTTATCCCTACGAGCTGCTCTTCACTTTTAGACCATGAAACAGCCTCAAGGGTATGTTCCTGATGCCAAGTCAAGAACTCCAAGTCAACACGCCAAGTAACCAAGGGCCCAGTCAGCTGCTCACAGACATCCAACAACTCAGGGCCTGCAGTGAGAACTTAAGGGTCACAGAATGGTAGAATTTCAGGGCTGGAATGGACCTGACAGATCATCCAGTCCCAACCCCTGCCCTGGGCAGGGACAGCTCCTCACTAGATCAGGTTGCTCAAGGCTCATCCAGCCTGGCCTTGAACACCACCAGGGTTGGGGCAGCCACAGCCTCCCTGGGCAACCTGTGCCAGTGTCTCACCACCCTTAGAGTAAAAATCTTTTTCTTCATATCCAACCTAGACTTTCCCTCCTTCAGTTTGAGAACTCCTCAGGAGCAGGGGATGTGTACACACGATGGTTCAGAGTTGCCCCTCTAGCTCAGAGAGCACAAACCCAGCATGATTCCAGTCCATGGAAGCACTGGGAATGAGGCTTAAATGGCAAAGCAGGAGGAAGAACTCATATTCACCCATAGCCCTGATCTCCAGGTCAACACAGAGCACTCCATTTGCTGATTCTTGGCCAACAAATCCACCACTGTGCCAGCCAGAGCTGGCATTCTGCTTGATCCCCAAACACCTGCCCTGTAGTTGGAGGGGGAATGTTTCAAGCAGGTCACTTGCTCACACACACAGCAGTGCCAACCAGCATTCACCTGCCAGGCACACAATGTGTGACCACTTGCAGAGCACTTACAAAGCAGCATGAGGTTGAAATGCCAGGCAAGAAGTCAAGTTTCACAGTTAAATCTCACCCAGGGCAAGTTCTTTCTCCTGCTAGCAGCCTCCACAGCTCGGAACAGCTTCCACTCAGACAGTGTGACAGGCAGAGAGGTGTCCTTCACCATCTTCCCTTGGAAACTTGTCTGGAAGGGCTTTAGCTCAAGAGTCTTGCGACTGAGGAAGGGAGGTTTTGGAGGAGGCTAGAAAACAGAATCAGAAGAGATGATTGAGCATGAGATCCAGCTTTGGTCCAAGGTCAGAGTCAAAGGAGTTGCATTAAGGCTAGAAAACAGAATCAGAAGAGATGGTTGAGCATGAGATCCAGCTTTGGTCCACGGTCAGAGTCAAAGGAGTTGCATTGCAGATGGTAAATTTGCTCTACTAAGCTCTCCATCCCAACCCACCCACTCAAGCCTCTCATCAACACTCTCTTGCTCCTATTCTTTTGTTTCTTAGTAGCTTAATCAACTGTCCCTGCCATGGCTGTTCAGTATGTACATTATGTATCACTCACACTGATAACATACAATAAAACATAAGGACACCCAGTGACTTGCAGTGGGGAATGTGGGGCTAGGGGAGACCACAAACTAGGGCCCTGGTGAGGATGACCTGACCATTCAATCCCCTCACCCTACCTTGGGAGCTCTGCTGATGCTCCGGGCTGGGGGCAGCTTCCAGACAGATGGGACCTTCCACAGGGGTAAGGGCAGTGCTCTGATGTCTTCATAAGGGTTCTCCTTTGCAGGACCTGGAAAAAGCATTGGATGGGGATTAATGAAAGGAGGCAAAGCCCTGAATTCCTGTAAGGGATCTAAGTGGGGAGAGCATGCAGTTGTCTGCCAAGCCATAACAGGGTCTGAGAGATCAGTTTGAAGGTGTGTTCCCACCACTTAAAAGATCCTTCTAACTCACTGCCATCGACTTGGCAAACTGCACACAGACTCAGCAGAACACAACACTTCTACCCCTGCAGGGAAAGCAGCTCTATTGCAAAGCAGCTAATTTGGCAGTGTTCACACTGATCTCTGTGCAGCACTGAGCAAAGCATTTGAAGAGCTAATAAAATTTAGCACAGGCCAACTCAAGTGACCTTCCATGGCAACTCAAATCAGGTGTTCACGTGCAGATAGTTACTAACACCAACAAAGAACCCCAGATGGGGAAAACATCTTAAAAATCACAGAGCTGGAAAAGGCCTTAACGCATTCTCATCTTCATTCCTCCCTCCCCAGCACATCTGCAGCCCTTAAACACAGTGAGGGCATCCCCCAGAAGCACAGGCACATACAGATAATGTCCTCGTAGATGTTGTCCTCTGACTGTGTGTAGGTGAGCCTGGATCCTGCAGTGCCATTTGTCTCCTCTCGAAGCCTGTGGGAGCTGTTGGTTGCCATCCGGTTGCGGAAGCCCTGGATGTCCTCAAACTCAAAAGATTTCCTAGAGGAAAACCAATGTAACTTCTTCTAAAGGCAACTGTCTATACCAGTGACTTGCTGTCTCCAGTCCACACACAGTATGGTCCTCCCTGGACTCTGATTTCCAGGTGCTCAGGTTTAACCCCAGGCAGCAGCTCAGCCCACAGAGCCACATGCTCACTCCCACCCCATGGGATGGGGGAGAGAATCAGAGGGTAACAGTGAGGAACACATGGGTCAAGATAAAGACAGTTTAATAGGGAAAGCAAAAGCTGCACAGGCAAGCAAAGCAAAAAGAGGGAATACCCTTGGCAGGCAGGTGTTCAGCCATCTCCAGGAGATCAGGGCTCCATCATGACTTGGGAAGACAAACACCCTAACTCCAAATGTCCTCCCCTTCCTCCTTCTTCCCCCAATTGTTATTGCTGAGCACAACATCACATGGTCTGGAAGATCCCCTGGGTCAGTTGAGGTGAGCTGTCCCTGCTGTGTCCCAGCTCCAGGCTGTGTAAGCACTGCTCAGCAGTAACTGACACACTGCTCTCTTATCAATATTTTCATCACAAACCCAAAACACAGTACCACACAAGCTACTATGGAAGAAAATTAACTCTATCCCAGCCAAAACCAGCACACCAAGTGAGTCCTACTCACTTACTGTGGGAGATTTTTTAAGTTAAAAATGAAGTTGGAGGCTCCATGGCCAAGCACACTCCAAACAAGTACAATGAGTCCCATCCTGTCAGAGACAAGAACCCAAAACACCTCGGGCAGACTTGCAGCAGAGCTCAGAATCAGGTCACTGGTTTCTACTGGACCTCTCCTGCTTGTGCTCAGGGTGTTCATGCATTTGGGAGTTGGCATTTCCATACACTTGGCTGCTATTTCAAAATCATGGCACAGAGGTCACAGAGGAGCTGGCAGGGATTTAGCACATCATCACAGAATTTGGGTTGTTGCTGTGTGCTTTGCCATGGTGAAAGGTTTCAAGAGCCCTGGTCATGTCTCTGCTGATCATGTGCACACTACTCTAGCACAGTGCCCCAGGCAGCTCACTTGTAAACACAACTAGCCTCAAGCTACCTCAAAGTTTTTTTACATATGGGAAAGAGGGAAAAACAGCCAAACCTACTGCACCCACAGCCTCCAGCTTTAAGCAACAAGAGAATCCTTCATTCCCAGGAAAGCCACTCAGCAGCCATGGTGCCCCTAGAGAAAGTTCCTCTGCCATCCACAGATAGCAGCTCAGGGCAAGCAGCAGGCAGGAAGCAAGCAGGTCTCTCCCTGGGGCCAGCATATCGTCACTCCACTCAGTCTGGAGCTCGTTTGGATCTTGTAGCCTTCTTTGCCAGATTATCAGCAGCTAAAGCAGTGCACACAATGCAGGAAAGGGGATACTGTCATCCAGGAATATCCTCTCCCCATCAACAGAGGCATCATCAGTGCTACCACCTCTACAAGGATATCATGGCAAGCTCCTCAAACCCACCAAGATACTGATTTAAGGAAACACGTTTCAGACATGAGAGAGATGAATTATGTACCTCTGGGCTCTCCCTCTGATCATCCTGCTGGCTATTTTCTTCTCAGGATTGTTGGAGGATGACACCAGGTCCCTTCCACTCTGCTTTTGCAGGGGAGTTTCCCTAGTAGCACTGGCATCTCTACAGCTACCAACACCCTTTTCTGCCAGGTAGCGGAAAGTCCTACGGGGTTTGGGTGGTGGGACAGGAGCTGGCTCCTCCTCTTGCCCCTCAACCTCAGAGTAAATGTTTTTCAAGCTCCTCTCTGCCCTGCAGAGAGAGTCCACTCCTTTGATTTTCACTTCTCTTTCCGTGGAGCCAGAGCTCCCTTGCTTCCTCTGATGGTCCAAGGGAACAGGAAGGGCTTTGCCAGGCAGAAGGGGATCTGCTCTCCTCCACAGAGCTTGTGAGGTATAGAAGTTCCCTGGGGGCAGTGCCACCCCAGAGTCCAGGCAGCCTGCTTGCCCCTCTCCTTTCTGCCTGGCTTTTGAAGCTGGGCTGCACACACAGGGCTTGAGGCCACCACAGTCCCCAGTCTGCAAGCAGCTCCGTGCATCTTCCCTGAAGTCCAAACCCAGGCTCTTTGGATCTTTGGAGCCAGCCTTTCCGGCCTTCTCTGTGCATTCTGGCTTCACTTTGGGTAGAGCATTGCAGCTGGGATCATACTTTACTCCAAAGTCCTTTGGCTGCTGTTTCTCCTTGCTGGAGCAGCCTCGTGTCCTGCCCTCCCACTGGGAGATCTTTTGCTTGATGTTTCGGCAGTGGCTGCGGGACAAGGTCTGCACGGCCGAGCGGGAGAAGCTGCTGCTGTCCACCGACCCTGTGGGGTGCATGGCAGGTGCCAGTGTGCTCACACCCCCCCCATCTCCAGCCCCAGCCACGTCCTCCTGTGTCCTTCACACATCAAGCTGGAACGAGCACTCAGTGGTGTGGGAGAGCCCCTGGGGGTCAGGGCTGTCTGCTCACACGACCTGTGGGCAAAAAAAGACAAGACCCATCAGTTGCACTCCAGCCATGCACACCACCAGGAACTCCCAGCTGCTCCCTGGCAATTGCTGAAGAACATTCCTCCCCAAATCACATGCTCAGGACCAGTTTCCAGAGCTCCCCACAAAGCCTGTTTGTGCTGCACACATCTGGGAGGGCTAACGATAGGAAGTTGAGGTCTCACTGGCTTAAGAAACAAACAAAACACCACAACAGGAACAAAACACAGAGAGGGATCCCAAGGGTCCAAACTCAAGGAAACTATTTCATGGCAGAGGAACACAGCAGAGTGGCTCTGAGCCAGCCTTTCTGCTCGTACTGACCCAGCCCAAGCAGGAGAACAGTTCCTCTTGATGCTCTGCACTGCTCAGAGCACCTCAGGCAGCACTGAGCCAAACCCCTGCAGCACTGTGTCTCTGCCTGAGCTCTGCACTCAGCAGAGACACAGCAGGACACAAAACACCACACCAGTAATATAGAAGGAACCACATCTACCTCTCCAGAGAGGCAGCACAGCAGGACACTGATGCTTCACCCAGGATGAGGACAGTTGTGCTGGCTGGAGAAAAGCCTGACTGGGAGGAGTGCATCCTCCTCCCAGAAGTGTTCTCCTGCTGCACAACACAAGTAAAAACCTGTCTGATGTTCTGTTTGTCAACACCTGACCTAAATTTGCCATCAGAGAGACAGGAGGGCAGTGGTGCCCAGCCTGTGGCTTGCAGACAGGGAAGTTTTAAAAAGCAGAAGAAACTGGTAAGTTTTCATTCTCAAGAGAAAAATTACCCTGTGTTTAGATCAGCAGAGGAGAAGGAATGCTAAAGGAACCCTCTGGCTTCTCCTACCCAAGCAGAGACTGCACAAACAGGAGCTGTGCTGTTTGAGATATCCCAGTGTACAACCCAGAGGATACACCAAACATCCTCTGGAGTCCTTCAAGGAAGGAGGTGACACCACCACGGAGAACTGGGGTGTCTGCACAGACTCAGCACCTACAGGTCCAGTATGACCTCAGTACAGATATTTCAGGTGTGGAGTCTCCATCCTAGGAGCCTTTCAGCTCTACCTGAAACTCACATGGCATCCCAAATATCCTCAGATATAGTCTCCATCCTAGGAGCCTTTCAGCTCCACCTGAAACTCACAAGGCATCCCAAATATCCTCAGATAAGCCAGCACGGTTGAACACTCATCTTGGACAGAAGACACCAGCCCATAGGCTCTAACAAGCTCTGTTCCTCCCTTTCTCCAGGCAGTTACCCCATTTCAGAAGTTCCAGCCCTCCAGGTCTATTTAACAATCTCCATTTGTATTAGGAGACAAATTCTCAGCTCAGCCAGGGCTCCATGCAGCAAGCCTGGCCACGCTGCCTTCAGGAACACTCTCCTGGCACCCTGCAAAAGGCAGAACAAGAGCAGCAAGCAGTCCCCGTTCCACACTTGCACAAGAACAGAGGATCTCTGCAGGGAGCAAGCCAGACCTGCTCCAGGAGGGAACAGAGGCCACAATCAAACCAAGTCTGTGCTCAGGCTCCACCTGACAGACCCAGACAGCTCCCACTGCCACACACTAGGGATTGTCCTCCAAAGCTGCTGCTGTGACACCCACTCTGCTCTGACTCATGGAGCTCTAAGAGTGGGCAGAACCAAGGATGGGCAGCAAAACAAACTGAGAGACAGAGGAGCTTAAACCTGCCTGACAAGGGTTCGTGCCCCACGCACCAGGCTGGGTGTGGAGAGCCCCCACCACAGCAGAGACCTGCATCCTTCTGCTGGCACTGCACCTCAAATCCCAGGGCTCTGGAGCTACCCCTGGTGTTGCTGATCTGCTTGGCAGAGGCATTTGCAGTGCAACTGAAAGCACAGCACCGGCCCTGGAAGATCTCCTGGATATCATTAGTGAGAAAAGTCCTCGATGAAGGACATCTCAGGGCTCCCCAAGCAATTCAGGGATGGCTTGGGCACACATGGCACAAAGCCTCAGCTCTCTGCTGTGCTCTCACCCTCCACCAAAGCAGCACTGCTTGCTGTGGGAAGCAGCTCAGTGCTGCCTGCCTGCAGTGTGGATTCCTGCACTCTGGCATCGCTCATCACATTGTCCCAAGACAGCTGCTGGTAACTCTCCCACTCAGCAGTGAATGGGATAAACTTGGACAATCTGGGTAAGCACTGAACTGGGGATATTTGCTCCCTCATCAGCATTCCACCCTGCCCTCAACGCTTCCACAGCTCCACTGCTGCAAGACCCTCTTCCTGCAGGGCTGGGCTGCCCCAGCAGCGAGGGCCCCTGCCCTCTCCTATAAATAGACATTGTTGACAAAACATCCTGAGCCAAAGCAGAGCCATCCTTCCTCAATCCCTGTCTGCATAGCCCTGATTAGCAGACAGGAAAGCAGCTTTCCCCTTTCCTGTGCCACTGCAACTACTCTGCAGCATCAGCACTCCAGGCTGCTCCTGAGCACCTGGCCAAGAAGGAAAGGGTCAGACAGATGAGGAGAAGGGTGAAATAGCCTCCTCAGCCACTCCAGCTTCACACCAGGCTCCTTTACTGCCTGACAGATCTTCAAAACTGAATGCAGAAGTGGCACAGGAGGAGGCCCCTGAAGGACCCTGCAGTATGGAGCAAAGGGTTTATCCACTGGACTAAGCACTTCATGGACATGTGCAGCCCATGCCCACAGCAAGCCCAGACACTGCATCAACAGTTCCCTTGCTTCCCAAGAGCACAGGGAGCTTTCTTCTCTGAATACTCCAGCTGTCAGCTCCTCTGGGCTCAGATCTGCAGCCTGACAAAGCGTCTGCATGAGCATCCATGGGGGCAAATCACTGCATGGAGGAAGATGAGTCACTCTGTGCAGCTTTCCAGTTGGTCCACCCTCACTGTGCTCAAGCAGGGCAGCTCTGCTGGCTGCCAGCCCACCCCATGCCCTTCCTCCCATGACTCAAATTGGTAAGGGTGCAGCAAAAAGTGTCTGTGCTGCAGCTTCCTCAGACAGACAGACACAATTCTGCTTCCTCATACTGAACCTAAGTCAGCCTAATGCTCCTCCTGTCCATGTCTGTGCTTCCACAATGAGGCACAACAGGAGCTGAGAAATGTGGTGGAGGAGCACAGCCCTGGCCAGCACACAGGTACTGGTGAGATGTCTGCAGTGCTGCTTCTCTTCTGCTCACTGCTGAATGCCCAGAGTCCAAGCAGTGCACCAAGCAATTACTTGACTCCAGCAGCCAGAGCTACACAGACCCATATAGCATCACTGAATGGTTTGGGTTGGAAGAAACCTTGAAGCTCATCTTGTTCCACCTCCTGTCATGGGCAGGGACACCTTCCACTAGACCAGGTTGCTCAGAGCCACATCCAGCCTGGCCTTGAACATAGGCAGGAACAGGATCCACACTGAATTTCTTCCCTCTCCTTCACCATAAACCTACCACGTTAAAGTTACTCCTCTGGCCAGTGAAGCTCCACACAGCAGGAGGAGTATCACTCAGAAGGTGAAGCAATAAGCTTCACTCACCTGAGCAGCTGTGCAGTTCCCAGTGCACAGCAAAGGTCTTTCCAAGGCACAGCACTGACCTCAGAACTACCAGATATAACCAACACATGGCTCCTGGCTCTTCTCAAACACAGATAGCAGAGCACAAGCTCAAAGCACCTGATGTTCTCCCCTGCTCAGTGCTGCTCTGCCAGCCCTGAACTGTCTCTTCCAAAATAGCCATCCCAGGAGGAGAGGAATGCAGCTCCTCACCTGCCCAGGCTTGCAAGGCAGTTGCTGCTATCAGAATAAGGCACTTAATATCAGCTCATCACATGAGTCTGGGCAAAGGGAAAGATTGATCTTTGGTGAAGAAAAAGCAGACTGGAGCGGTGTGATCCAAGCTAAGTCCCTCCCAAATGCAGCCTAGGACAGCTCAGGGACACAGAACTGGCAGAGACCACCTGGGTCAGGCAGTTAGCACTCTTATCAGGCACTGCACACATCACTCCTATCACAAACTAACCAGACTTGTGACTGTATCTCTCCTGACCTCTCCTTCCAAATTCCTTCCCTCAGTGGCTCTAGTGTGCTTCCCTGTATGTCCAGAGAAGCCACATTAATCATCCCTACTGCATTAGGATCTAGTTGAGAATACTGAATTGTTTCACTGAAAGCAGTAGTTTGGGTAAAATGAAACAATGCCTAGACAAAACATCACACATTTCTCCCACAGAGCTGTTTGAAGAAAGCTTCCATATCTCTATCCAAAGCAGAAGGAGGCACACTCACAGCACATGACAGGTAGTCCTGACTCTTTTTTCCAGCCCTGAATGCCAGAAAGCACACCACACATTTTCCATGCAAAGCCTCCAGACAATTCCGTTTCCTGAAACCACGTTCTCAAGCAGGGAATGCTGCCAGTGCTGTTCAAGAACAAAATACTGCCTAGTGCTGAGGTCAAGCCCACCCACCAGAGATGCTGCTGGTACCCACAGCCCCCCTGAGCACACCACACCAGCAGCTGAACAGAGGCACTGACAGAGCACCTTACCTTGTCCTGCTCCACCAGCACAGGGACACACAAACCACAGACTCGGCAAGCCCGTGCAGCTCTGAGGCAATCCCACTCCTTTTATGAGAGCTGTGCAGTCCTAAACCACCCAACAGATCTCCTTGTCACCAAGCCTCCTGTGGTAATAGCCAGCTAAAAGAATTTCTGGTCTTCTGAAGTCTAGGAAAGCTGCCAGCTCAGTCCTGCAGGGATAAGGGTACAGCCAGCACTGCAGCAAGCATCCCTCCCAGAGCTCTCAGCTACTCCTGCTCTGCTCAGCTCCAGGCCAAACCTGAAGTTCCTCTGAACACCTCTGCCAT